TATCTGGCAGCTCCTGCGCTTCAGCTGCTTCTCGAAGCTGCTCTCCTCGTGCCAGCTCCTGCGAGAGTCTCCTCCGTCTCCGCTGCGCTGTCGCCCGCGCCTCCTCACCGCCTCCAGACCCTGAGCGCAGCCGTAAAAGCGCGCCGACTCGGAGGAGAGGAACCAGCCTCCAGTTACGGGTCCGAGGACGATGTCTGAGTGCCAGCCTTTAAGTGCTTTAGCTGTTTTAGACGGAGCTCCATCCATGCTGCCGCTGCGCTGGAGCGTCTTACTATTATCTTCAGCCGGACTTTGCTCCGAAACCTCCTGCACCGGCGAGAACTGGCAGGGCTCACCGACGGGAAACGCTCGCAGAGACGCTCCGGACTCGCCGTACGACTTGATGTCCAGGGAGAAGGAGCGTTTGGGCCGGACGTTCTCCTGCGGTTCCTCGCCGAGCTGAAGGCCGCAGAGCGCCCGGGCCAGAAGATGCTCCTCGGGGACGCCGGCCAGAACGCAGGGCATCGTCAGCGGCTCCTGCTTCTGCTCGTCTGCCGGCGGTCGGGGTTTGAGCGGCGCGTCGCTCGCGCTTTTTAGTTTCTTCTCGAAGTCCAGCAGCTGACCTAGGAAGTTGAAGTTGGGCGAGATGGTCGGACGCTTCTCCTTCACGAACCTGCGAACGGACACAGATTTGAGATCGATCGATAATTGAAAGTTTTTATCTCACAATTCTAAAAAATTTCATTCGAACTGCGAAGTCAGAATTGCAAGAAAAAAGTCAGAATTTGTTAGTTATAAACTCACAATTACAAGAAAAAAGTCAAAATTGCGCGAAAGTCAGAATTGCAAGATATCTACAAATTAATTTCAGCTCAACAAGTACCGTCATCTGTAAGTAAAATGTTTTGCATGACAGAAGTCAGAATGTGTTGAACTGTCATCAAAATAATAATAATAATAATATCACAATACGAGGAAGATTCTGTTGATCTGATACTGAAATATGAGATTCACCCTTTAATTAACACAGATGAATTAAGGCTCACAGAATCTGCTGTAGTACCTGTACGCTTCATCTAACGACATGTCCATCCTCTTCATGATGTAGGCGATGGCGATGGTGGCCGAGCGAGAGATTCCCGCCAGACAGTGGACCAGGACTCTGGCGTTACTGGCCTTGGCTTTCTCTGACAGGAAACACACAAAAACACTTCCTGTCAGCTGACCTCACACTCTCAACATGACCCTCATTAGTACTTCTACAGTCACATGAGCATGTCTGATTGTGTCTATGAAACCTGTGAAACTGGAAATAATGTTAACTAAAATGGAAACAAATAAAAATAAATTAAACCTAAAGAGTAATATTTAAAAAAGCAGAAGCACTACAATTATTAACTGGTATTAAATAAAAACTAAAACTTAATAAAACTGAAATTAAATTAAACATAAATAGTAAT